AGCGTGTAACCGGGTGTGGCCACAAAACAAACAAAACTTTAACTTTCAATTTTCTTGCTACTGTTAGTCACTCTGTTTTTGTATCTATCTTTAAAGATAGGGTCAGAGAGATACTACAGTGAGTATGTGTCTTGCCTTTTGTGTGTCTGATCAAGTTCGATCCCCAGCACCACATATAGTTTCCTGAGCCTGCCAGAAGTAGGCCCTGATAACTGTGCCTGCCACAGAGGCAGGGGGTGGGGGGAACAGGGTGGGGGTGGCAGAAGGGTTACTGGGAACATTGGTGGTGGGGAATGGGCACTGGTGTAGGGATGGGTACTCGGTCTTTGTATGACTGAAACGTAATCACAAAAGTTTCTAAGTCTGTAACTATCTCACAGTGACTCATTAAAAAAAAAAAAAAAGAAGTAGGCCCTGATAGCAGAGCCAGGAACAAACCCTGAGCACTGTCGGGTGTGGCACCAGAACAAACAGAAAGGACAAGTCCTATAAATTAAGACAATTAAATGATATTGTTAAAGTGTCACAAAAATATTAATTTCTGATTTATTAAAAAATTAAAGGGGCCAGAGAGATAGCAGGTAGGACACTTGTCTTGCAAGCAGCCAACCTGAGTTTGATCCCTGGCACCCATCTGATACCCCAAGTCCCATCAGGAGTGATCTCTTAGCCCAGAGCCAGGAGTCCTGAGCACCACAGGGGGTGGTCCCAAAACAAAACTTAAAAACATTTGTGCGGGGCTGAGATATAGTCCAGATGTTAAGACACTTGGCTGACCTGGTTTGATCTCCAACACCACATATGGTCCTGTGCATGTGGTTATACACGTATCAAGAATGATTGCAGATCACAGAGCTAGGAGTACCCCCAAGCATTGCTGAGTGTGGCCTTATTTTGAGTCAGATCGTGTAATTAAAAAAAAGATAGGAGGAGCCGGAGCAATAGCACAGTTGGTACAACACTCTCCTTGCATGTAGCTGACCCAGGTTCAATCCGCGGTACCTCATATGGTTCCCACAGCCCGCCAGGAGTAATTCCTGAGTGCAGAGCTAGGACTAACTCCTGAGCATCACTGGTTGTGATTAAAATAAAATAAAATAAAGAGGGAAAACATAACAAAAGAAGAGGAACAAAGATAAGATACACTAGACTCTTCCAGCAGAAGTACAATGGAAGAGAAGAGGTGAGGACATTCTCTTGGATTCAGTAACTATGGTTGGGTTGAATTTCAAAGATCCCAGAGTCCAGAGGGACTTAATGATACTTTAGATACTTCCAGGGGAGTATTGGTTTATGCAACTGTGTTGAAGAAAAGAAATTGATTACTAGCAGAATTATTGGTTTTGCAACTTTACTGAAGAAAAATAAATTGATTGCTGGCAGAATTATTAGTTACAGGGTGGAGTGCTGGGATGGAGATCAATCGTGAAGCATATTTTGAAAAAGAATAAAACTCTGGGTTCTATATTCAGCACACACACAAAAATCATGTAGAAAATTACCAGCTAAAGTGAGAAATTTAGAGAAATGAGAAACTGAGTAGTTTATTGGTTTCCTAGATCTGTCATAACAAATTACCAAAAACAGGTGACTTACGACAGAACAATTTAGGGTTGGGGCAATGGCTCAAAGGGCTGGAGCACATGATTTGCATGCAGGAGCCCTGGGTTCTATCCCTGGTGCCTCATGGTCCCCTGAGACCACCAGTAATGATTAAACCAAGTACCACACCAGAACTAAACGCCGCCTGTTGTGCTCTCCTACCAAAAATACAAAAGGACAATACAAATTTATATATTCACATTCTGGAGATTAAAATTCTGAAATCAAAACACACTAGGGCTCTGCTCCCTAGAATTTAGACCCTGGTAAAATTCTTTCCTCCTCCTCTCTAAGCTTCTGTTTTTTTCTAGCAATCTCTGGCATTCCTTGGTTTGTGAGTGCATCATTCCAGTCTCTGCTTATTGTCACATGATGTTCTTCCAGTGTCTGTGTGTTTTCACAGAGTGTTCGTTTTTCTCTGTATCAGTGTCCAAACTTCCTTCTCCTGTAAGGGCAACAAGTTACTAGATTAGGACCAGTACACTAAGACATTATGATCTCATTAACTATATCTTGAAAGATTCTATTTCCAAATAAGATTATTGTTATTATTGGGGTCTTCAACATATTTTGAGGGGAGGAAGGGAGAGGGGACACAGTTCTTCTCACTATAGTAAGAAGAGTTCAAAAGAATACAGGAATGTATACACACACACACACACACACACACACACACACACATACACACATATATCTTGGGGACAGAGATAGTACAGAGGTTAGCTTGCCTTGCATGTATCTGACCTGGTTCAACCTCTAAAACTTTATATGGTCTTCTGAGTACCACCAGGAATGATACCTGAGCATAGAGCCAGGAGGAAGCTCTGAGCATTGCTGGGTGTGGGCCCGCCTCTGCCAAAAAAAGAATGAACGCAGGAAACACCCTCCTCATCACTAGACCCAAACAGAGCACTGAGCCATCAGGTTTGCATAGCGCCATTGAGGATTGTTGAAAGTGCCCCGAGGGACTCCCTGGATACTGCTTGGGAGACCCTTTTTGACCCCCCAAAAAGAATACAGGAATAGCAGATAGTCACATAACAGAGGCATATGTTCTGCGAAATGTGTCACTAGGTGATTTCATTCTTGTGTGTATGTTAAAGAAAAGTTAGATCACGGGTGGGACAGCTCAAATTCTCAAATAAGAATTCTAGCAATTAGGAGGAGCATAGCTTGCAGAGGTGGGTTTGCAAAACTCCCAGAGGAAATTCAACTGGAGGCTACACTGACACCTCACTGCACCCAGCATGCCTGTGCAAAGGGCAGAGGGAAGTAGCAGGGGCAATGGCAATCTTGTACACACAAATTTTAACCTGACTTCCCCCGTGTCTATCCCAGGGGACAGCACAGCTGAGGTGTGGCAATGCTGCTGAATGGTTGATGCAATTACTGAGCAGTGTGACCCAAACCCAAAGCTTCATTTCCCAGAATGGTTCATAGAAAACAGCTCTTGGGGCTGGAGTGATAGCACAGCGGGTAGGGCATTTGCCTTGCATGCGGCCGACCCGGGTTCGATTCCCAGCATCCCATATGGTCCCTCGAGCACCGCCAGGAGTAATTCCTGAGTACAGAGCCAGGAGTAACCTATGTGCATCTCCAGTGTGACCCAAAAAGAAAAAAAAAACAGCTCTCACTGATCACCTCCACACCTTTTAACCACAGCCCAATCAAACCTCCTCTGGTGATTTGGAGCTCAAATTAGTGTCACTCTGTGAAGGCAAGTGCTCACAGAGCAATAGTCTTGTAGGCAAATAGGGACACTGAGAGAAGAGAGTGTTTCTTTTTTTTTTTCTTTTTGGGTCATACCTGGCGATGCACAGGGGTTACTCCTGGCTCTGCACTCAGGAATTACTCCTGGCTGTGCTCAGGGGACCATATGGGTTGCTGGGAATTGAATCCGGGTCGGCCGCATGCAAGGCAAACGCCCTACCCGCTGTGCTATCACTCCAGCTCCAAGAGAGTGTTTCTTACACATTAAAAAAAAAATTTTTTTTTCCAACAACCAAGGATGGAACCCCGGGCTTCACTCATGCAAGACAAATGCTCCACCACCAGAGTCATATTCTGGTTTCTATTTTTTCTTTTTTTCTTTCAACCTGTAATCTGAGACTTGGCTGGTTTATCAGGCACATTCAGACTTATCTTCTTACAGGATCTGACAGGCCTGAGTTTCTTGTTCCCATTTTACCAGTTGAGATCATTGAGGTCAGGCACAATGAAGCAAGGGAGAGATACAAGAGGTGCCAAGTTTCTAAAGAATTGAGACTGTGGGTGCCCAACAGCCATTTCTACAGGTGGAGGGTGGGTGAGGTAGGCATTGCTGAAGAGTGAGTGATCCAAAAGAGGGCAGAGGTGAGCCGAGCCTTGTGACAGCTAGCTAGCCCAACTCAGACTTCAGTGTGATAAACTATACAGTGCGGCTGGGTCTGCCTGCCAGACTCGTGCATCCGTGCACTTTTTTTTTTTCTTTCTTTGCAGTTGGTCTTGACTGTTGCAGGAGATCCTGAGAAAGTAAACTCGAATCAGGGCTGGAATGACAGCACAGTGGGTAAGGCACTTGCCTTGCACGCAGCAGACCCGGGTTCAATCCCTGGTACCCCATTTGGACCCTCGAGCCCGCCAGGAGTGATCCCTGAACGCAGCGCTAGGAGTTCAGCCCTGAGGGCCGCCCGGTGTGGCCCAAAAACCAAAAGAAAAAAAAGAAAAGAAAACTCGGATCAGGTGGGCTCTGCCCAGTTGCTTTTAAGCGGAGAAGTGAGCGCGGACTGCAGCCTCTGCAAGCACCAAGGCTGGGAGGGATGTCCTTGAACTCACAGCCCGAGGAGGCATCGCTACGCCGCCGAGGGACAGCTGCAGTCGGCCCCGAGTCCCGGAAGCCACTATCTGGCTGGCTCCCTGCGGGGAAGAGGTACTCAAAACGGGACGAAGCGCCACGCAGGCCCCAGCTCCCTCCTCCGCCCCCTCCAGGCCGCCGTACACCGCCCCCCCACCCCCATCCCCAGCCCGAGGCCACTCGGTGTCTGCGACTCGGGAGCGCTCGGGCATCCCGACGGGCGCCGACCTCACTGAGGCCTTTCCTAGGAAGTTTGGAATTTCGCATCTCGTTCACGCTCGATTCGCGTAGATGGGCCTGACATAACAGGAAGGTGCCCTTAAAAAAAAAAAAAAGTGACGGCGCACTCTAAGCGTCATCGCAGTGGTCTCAGTCTCTCTGGAAACTTGGCTCCGGCCCTTGGCCAGCCTGTAGAAGATGACACCATCCGGTCCGCCTCAGCGCCTTTCCAGTACTGCGCTCTCCGCCCTCAACTATGATGGCGGCGCTGCTCAATTTGGCTTCTTGCCCCTAGGGATGATGGCTGCCAGGCGGCTTCACACAGTGGCTCACCACCCCGGAAGACGGGGAGCGGCGATTGGGCGGTGCCCAGAGTCCCCGGGAAGAAGGCCCCTGGCGGTTGGGCAGTACTGGGTAAGGCTAGTTTTAAAGGAGCCGGAGGTGGGAGCCGTCGAAGACCCGGGATCTACGGGAGGCGGCGGTGAGCGGCGCGCGGGGGAGGGCACCGAGTGGCTGGAGAGAGGGCGGGAGGAGGGAGGGAAGGAAACTTTTGAACCGTCTGGTCCCCGCTGGGGAGCGCTCTGGGCGGGGACTGGGGGAGTGGGCAGGGAGGGGGTCTGTGGGCGGGACCTCCCGAGCTCTGAGTGAACGGGGGTATCTCCCAGCTTGACTGTGGATCCCCGGGGATCCGGACCGAGTTCGTGATGCTCCAGTTTAGTCCGCCCCGTCTAAGTGGAGCTTTGCGGAGCCTGCACTCACCTGCCGAGGAGGCTCCGCGCGCGGCGTCTGTCTGATTGGCGAAACCGCCCCGTAGGATTCTTTCCACAGGGTGCCCACTTGTGGGAGAGCTGGTGGGAAAGGGGGCCGTCAGCGTGTGGGGAGCGGCCGAGGATCACAGAGGGACCTCGTGGAAACAGCCTCTCAGGACCGGGATCCTAGCTGATCCCGGAGCATCCCGGGTTAGAACCTGCAGGGACAGAGACCCCGGGAGACCCGGGCCGTGGGAGAACTGGGGCCTCCGCAGTTCAGGTTCACGGCCGGTGTCTGACTGGGTGCTAGTGATCTGCTGATCGCGGCAGCGGGAAAACAACCGCCCCGAGTGGCCGGCCGGGGGCGCCCTTGGAGGCCCGAGCTCCGGCCCCGGGACTTGCCAGAGCCTCTGACCATGAAAGGTGGAACTCCAGGGGAGGGACTGACCCTCACTCCCCACTCCCCCGCTCCCCCCTCACCCCAGGCTGCTGCCTGGGATCCCCCAGGGACTCCCCGGAGCCGCTGCTTCCCCCATGGACTTGCGCGGGGATTCCAGGTGAGCGCGCACCCCGCCCGCCTGTCTTTAGCCGGGGAAATGGGATCCTGGCGGTCTCACGGAGCCACCTGCAGGCTCCAGCGACCATTCTCTGCATCTCTCATCCTCCAGCCCGGCTAGCCGTCCGCGTCTGTGCCGCCGGCCCGTGGATGAAGCATTATGGGGAGCCAGGAGCCCGAAACGGCAGAGGCTGCAGCCTCGGGGGGCCCCTTCGCCATTGGAAAAGGCCTCCCGGCGAGTCCTGGCTGTAGTGCTGGAAGATATCATGGCAGCCCGAACGGTGAGCCCCAGAACTTGAGGGCCCCTTCTCTTCCAGGAGTCTCCTCAGTACCAGAGTCACACCAGAGGGAGTCCTCGTGAGGCTGAGTTCTGGACATCTCATTCTCATCCCCCTGGCTCAGGCAGCCTCCCACAGGCTGCAGTTTAGCTACATTCCTGATATTCCTGCCAGGCTTGACCAAGATCTTGGTTCCTGCTTCCGGTTCCCACTGAGGACCATGTTGGTCCTCCAGTTTGGGGAAGGCTCGAGGGCATCCTCTGTGATGCCAGGCCAGCTCCTAGTGTGGTGCTGGGTGACCATGCAGTGCCAGTGATGGGAGCAGGGTCACCTGTATGCACTCCCTCCCATTCATGCCTGCCCCACCATCCCTACAGTTCCTAAGTAGGAGAAACTTATTAGCTCCACATCTAGGTTGTTTGTGGACGTCTGCCTCAGTGGGGCTGAAGTCTTAATCTCCACTGCATACACAAGAAAAACGTAGCTCCCGCCCCCCCCCCCCCCCCCCCCCGGCCAAATAAAGAAGGCAGTGAATCACCTAAGGGCCCTCTGTCCTCTGTCCTCTGTATTTTTCCCAGTGGCCAGGGTGAGATTGCTCTGGTCCCCACCAGCTCAGGATCCTGGAGTATACAGCCCCTAGTTGTGTTCTGCTGCACTGCTTTGTGGATCCTGAGTGAATTTTAGCTTCCTTGCCTGTCACTTAGGTGCCCTTGGGTACAGCCGGGCACTTGGAGGCCCTGTTGAACTAATCTCATTCTTGATTTTGCACCTCTACCTTCTCTAGGCCCCCCGGGCCCCCCAAGAGGAACCTTCCACCCCGCAGCACCACAGGAACCATCAGGATTCAGTCTGCAGTCAAACACCTGCCTTGGCACCACAAGAAGCTCTGTGGGCCTCACAGGACAGGTGAGCAGAGCTGGAGAGGGGGTCAGCAGAGGCGCAGCGGAGCTCCTCATCTGCCCGTTCCCTCTCTAGACCTCCAGACCTGCTGCATTTATGCCGAGAGCCTTTGAGCCGCGCCCATCGGACCCCTTTCTCCTTGAGGCATCGATCAAGGACAACCCCTGGTCCAGAGTGGGGCTCTTCACAAAAGGTGGATCTGGTCTCCCAGCCCACTCTGGTGGTGATGCTAGAAGATATTAACAACCCCAGTTCCCCAGCTGAGGTACAGGCACTTTGGAGGGAGGTGTTAAGGAGAGAGGTGTTAAGTGGGGAAAGAAGATAGTAGCAGGGGCTGGAGCGATAACACAGTGGGTAGGGCATTCGCCTTGCACGCAGCCGACCCGGGTTCAATTACCAGCATCTCATATGGTCCCCCAAGCACCACAAGAAGTAATTCCTGACTGCAGAGCCAGGAGAAACCCCTGTGCATCTCCAGGTATTACCTAAAAAGCAAAAAAAAAGAAGAAGAAGACAGTAACAGGAGGGCTAGATCAGAGATGAAGGACATTGTTTCAGGAAGAAGACATTGCCTAGATAGAAGAATCTTGTGTGAACCCAGACCAACTGCGGTTGGAAACTGGAGTGATTCAGGCCATGAGGCACTCGGCTGGGGGGCCAAAGGGGCCTTCCTGTCTCCCCACAAATGGCTTTTTACCTGCAGGACTTCTCCAGTGAGACTTCCAGCTCCCTTTCCCAAGTGCGAAGGTGAGGGCATGGCAGGGGGTCGCGGGGGAGGGCCAATCAAGGGGTGTGGTGGCATCCCTTGTCCTAGAAGCCAGAGCTAGAGGCTCATGTTCACTTGTCCCCTCCTTCCTTGTAGAACTTTCGGAGGCTGTAAGTGACGGGGAAGGTGCTGGTTCAGACGGAATCTGGACCCAGAAGTCCACCTCCTCAATTTTTACCTTGCCCCTTCACCCCAGGGCCAAGACCACCAGCAGGGTTCTCCAGTCAGTGCCTCCACCCAGGGACATGGAGCCCCCATCCCAGACATCCGCCCTGCCTGCAGACCCACCGGAGAGCTCACCACCAGGTACCGTGTGAGACTTGGGGCTCCGGAGAACCCTAGCTGAGCTGACAGGTGTCCAGGGTTGGCCTTAGCCCTGTTAGGCAGCGCTCGGTGAATGGAGGTGCAGCACTCGGAGGCCTGAAGTCCAGCTTCTAAATTTAGATTCCTAGGAGTGGGCTGATTGTTCCTCCTGTAGCAAAACCGAGTGTTTGAGGTAGGCTGCTGAAATAGGACTCAGAACCTCCAGCTGAGGGGCTGGAGCGATAGCACAGCGGGTAGGGCATTTGCCTTGCACGCAGCCGACTTGGGTTCAATTCCCAGCATCCCATGTGGTCCCCAAGCACTGCCAGGAGTAATTGCTGAGTGCATGAGCCAGGAGTAACCCCTGTGCAATGCTGGGTGTGACCGAAAAAGAAAAAAGAACAATGAGCCTCCAGCTGAAGAATACTTACCTTTCATCCTCTCTTTCCTCAGCCCCGGATCCTGTTCTGGAAACCTCCGAGGCCCCACCTGTGTCCAGTCTTTTACGCCCCCGCCTCAGTCCCTGGGGGTTGGCACCCCTGTTTCGATCCGTCCGCTCCAAGCTGGAGAGCTTTGCTGACATCTTCCTCACCCCCAACAAAATCCCACGTCCGCCACCCCCATCGCCCCCCATGAAGTTGGAGTTAAAGATTGCCATCTCCGAGGCTGAGCAGCCTGTGGCTGCTGAGACCACCATGTCTGTCAGTCCCCGGCCCCCCATCCGCCAGTGGCGGATCCAAGACCCCAGCACCCCAGTATCACTCCCTAAGTCCTCTCTGGGTCGAAGTAACTCCTGCCCTGACCTGGGCCCCCCCAGCCCAGACATCTGCAGCTGGCCCCCAATTCCACCCCACAGAAGTGGGTCCCGGCGGCACACTGTGGGTGGTGGGGAGATGGCCCAAGCACCCCCACCTCCTAGACCTTGTCTCCGGAAAGAGGTCTTCCCTCTTGGGGGGCTAGGAAGTTCTTCCCTCGTCGCATCTTGCTCGTCCACCACATCCACTTCCTTCTCAGAACCTGCAGATCCCAGGTAGTGGTCACAATAGGTCTCCTTAAAACCCGGGCCACTCGGCCGAGCCCCCTCCCCTCCTCGGGGATGATGGGAGATGGCTCCCCGTGGTTTTTGCTCCCCAGCTTTGACTTCTCTGCAGGTCGGGCTCAACCAAAGGGAAGGAGCCCAGGATCTCAGAGGATCAGGTGTTTTCAAGCCCTGAGACCAAGGTAAGGGACTAGACGAGGGGGAGGTGACACGGGGAGGTCGAGCCCCTGATGTATTCTTGCCCACTGCCCCATTGCAGACCATGGGAAAGGTTTCTCGGTTCCGAATACGCAGGACACCAGCCCGTCCTCAGCTAAATCTTACACCAATGGGGCTGCCTCGGCCAATCAGGTGAGCATGGCACTGCCATAGCCAACTGGGTATAAGTGTAGACTCAGATTCCCTGAAATGTGGCTTTGTCTCCTCTAGTAGAAGCCACTGTAGTCAACGTGATGGGTTTGCACTTAGAATGCTCCATCTCCAGCAGAACTTCTGGTGCCTAGCAAGTCCCAGGATTGAAATAGGGACCTTGCGGGCCCCAGGCTTCTCAGGGATCTCTGCTCTTTGCTCCCAGGTTGAATAAGAAGGAGTTCAGCTTGGAAGAAATTTACACCAACAAGAATTATCAGTCACCTACAACCAGAAGGTAAGAGACTGATGGTATGGGGGTGATAGAGGGAAGTCTCGAACCAGGAGACAAGCTGGTAACCAGCACCCATCCCTGCCTGGTTCAGATGCTTTGAGACCATCTTTGAGGAACCTCGGGAGCGCAACGGGACTCTGATTTTCACCGGCTCGAGGAAGCTTCGGAGGGCCGTAGAATTCCGGGACAGCAGCCTTCCCCGATCACGGCGGCCAACTCGAGGGGTTCGGGCTGCAACTGGCAGGACCCACCCACCCAGCATGGCCTCCAGCTCAGATGTGGGACCCCTGCTGCAGCAGCGGCTGGACGAGCTGGATACCTTGCTCCTAGAGGAGGAGGAAGTGGATACGGAGCAACCTCACTCCTAAATGAACCTGGGAGCATCATTTATTCAGCAGCCCTGGAATGGGGCAAGCCTCTGAGGCAGTTCTATTTTTTTTCTCTGTTTGTAGTAAAGCTTTCGATATGATTCTTTTGAATGTCTCTAGTTGAGTTCAAGATTGACTGGCAGTACTGATTGGTATTTATACTTTAGCCTCCAAAGACCCAGAAATGAGCCAGAGAAGGTGATGAGGGTACAAAGGATTTGAGAATTCTCCTGGATGGAGGGAATTGGAATTTTCTCTAGACAAGGCTGTCATAGGAACTGGCATGGCCAGGGTTCTCGTAAGTCACTGACATCATCAAGGAGAGTCCTAGAGTGAACCAAGAAATGCCATGAGTAAAATGGGCCTTAAATCCTCCAGAGTCTGTTTCTGGATTCAATTGCTAAGAAAAATGGGTGCAATCAGCCTTGACCAAACCCATTATAGATCCTTGAAAGGAAATTAGCCTCCATTCTGTACCTAATGGAATATATATTGGTGCAGTGGTGTCCCTTTAAAAATGGTAATTTAGGGCAGGAGAGACATGTGGGGCTTAAGACTTCACATTCAACTCACACCATGGTTCAGTCCCTGGCACTGTTTATGGTTCCCTGAACACCCCAGGAGTGATCCCTGAGCATTGCCAGTTGTGACTCCTCAAACAAAATTAAGTTAACTCAGGCAACCAGAGGCCAAAAAAAGTGTTATTTTACAGGCTTCATAACTTTTACTTTAATTGGATTACGCGAAGCACTACTTGGTAGGGAGACACTCCTGGTGGTGCTGAGGCATGCACCCTTTGGGCCAGAGTGATGGTACAGCAAGTATGGTGTGTGTCTTGCACTTGACCAAACCATATTTGATTCCCGGCACCACATATGGTCCTCCGATCCCTGCCAGGAGTGATCCTTGAGTTACAGAATAAGAAGTAAGTCATGAGCATCACCGGGTATGGCCCAAAACAAAACAAAACAAACAAAAAAAAAAATAGGAAAATCAGCATACACCCCAGCCCTTTGAGCCTGCTACCCAGACCCATCCTAAACTTAGAGGTGGAATAGAGCAGTGGTTAGAGCACAGACCACAGACCTGGACTTCTCCCTGCACTTTCCCTTCTTCATTTCCCGTTGATAGTAACTTGGGGCGGGGGGGGGGGGGGGGCGGGAAAAGTGCAGTGGTCATACACAGGCTCTATTGCAGTGCTTGCACTCCTGGGTCACATATGAGATTACAGTTCTGTATTTGACTGATTTGACTGTCAACCTGTTAGGGGTCAAAATTCTTTATTCAAATTCACTGGGTTATACTCCGGTCATGACATACACACACACATTCTAGTACTGGTAGTAACACTCACTGGGGCCCACACTTCAGTTATAACATACGTTGCTTACTGAGGTGTGGGATGGGGGAACAATATCTTCTACTTTTTTGTTTTTTGAGTCAGACCCTGCATGTTCTGGGGCTACTTGGGGTGTAGAGTGCTGGGTATAGGGGAATGGCAGTACTGGGGGACAATGCAATACCAGGAATCTAACCTGGGCCTCCTGCATATAAAGTCTACAATCCAGACCAATGTGTTACATCTCTGGTCCTACACCCAATTTTTTCTTTTTAATTTTTTTTTATTAGTGACTCACTTGTGAGGAACAGTTACATACTTAGAAACTTTCATGTTTGTGTTTCAGTCATACAATGATCGAGTATCCATCCCTCCACCAGTGCCCATTCTTCACCACCAATGATCCCAGGATCCCTCCCAGCACCCCCACCCTGTTCCCCCCACCCCACCCCGCCTCTGTGGCAGGGCATTCCCTTTTGTTCTTTCTCCTTTTGGGTGTTGTGGTTTGCAATAGAGGTATTGAGTGGCCAAAGTGTTCCGTCTATAATCTACTTTCGGCACACATCTCCCAACCCGAGTGGGTCCTCCCAACACCCTTTACTTGGTGTTCTCTTCTTTGTCTGAGCTGCCTTTCCCCCAGCATGTAAAGCCGGCTTCCAAGCCGTGGGGCAAACCTCCTGGTCCTTATCTCTACTATTCTTGGGTGTTAGTCTCCTATTCTGTTACTTTATATTCCACAGATGAGTGCAATCTTTCTATGTCTGTCCCTCTCTTTCTGACTCATTTCACTTAACAAGATACTTTCCATGTTGATCCACTTATATGCAAATTTCATGACGTCATCTTTTCTAATAGCTGCATAGTATTCCACTGTGTAGATGTACCAAAGTTTCTTTAACCAGTCATCTGTTCTTGGGCACTCGGGTTTTTTCAAATTTTTGGCTACTGTAAACAGTCCTGCAACCAATTTTATTTGGTGCTCACTCACCTAACTTCTGTATGGTCAAATATCATTTGGAGTATGAGGTATCAGACTGCAAGCCTGCAGGAACTGCACTCAGCACATATAAGCTGGCACCACTCAGCCTCAAACTAGCAAAACTCAGATCTGCTCTGGGAGATTTCTTGAATTCAAATCGTAGTTTGTAAACTATTTGTGGGTCACCTCCCCTCCTACTCTAAAATGGCCTAATAGAAAACTTTCCTAAAAGAACGCATTGTGCTTTTATATTATGACTTAGGGGCGACAATACATAGTGCTGGGTTAACTACTCCCCACCGCAGTAGTCTTGAGAAATCATGGCCAACTGTGCTGGGATCAAACACGGGGATTCTGCGTGCAAACAACTACCTTTTTTGCTGTCTCCATCACCTTTTTTATTTTTTTCTTTTTTTGGCTTTTTGGGTCACACCTGGCGATGCACAGGGGTAACTCCTGGCTCTGCACTCAGGAATTACTCCTGGCGGTAGCTCAGGGGACCATATGGGATGCTGGGAATCGAACCCAGGTCGGCCGCGTGCAAGGCAAAACTCCCTGCCTGCTGTGCTACGGCTGCATCCCCTAATTTTTTAAAGACAGAGACTATAGCTGGTGCATGAGTGTGGAGTTCATGTGGAATCCTGGAATTGAACACAAGCCCTCACACATGCTGTAGCACTTGAGCTGAATGTCTAACCCCTGCAAGGTGGGCTATTAAAAAATCATCATTATTACTTTACACAACCATAGGTCAGCACCTTCCCGTTAGCTGATCAATTAACGCGGCCAGAACAAGCAAGGCACGCCTCGTGCCCGAGACATCGACGCCACGGGACGGTAGGGGCGATTCGGCTGAGCCGGAGAACGGTGCTGCTACGCGCGTGCGCGAGAGCCAGCCGGCCCCTGGGCTAAGGACAGCCGCGGAAGGGAGACGTAACCGGCGCAGAGAAGCGCTACGTAGCCGCGCGCCGCCCAGAGGCCAACTGCCCCCTCTCACTCGAGCCGGACAACCCCAACTCTGGTCAGAAGGATGCCGTCAGAAGGCGGGCCAATGAGCGAAGAGCAGGAAGAGGCGGGCTCACCCAGAGGACCGCCCCAAGCAGCTACTTCTGACCAGTCGAGTCACAAGACTCGATGTAGGGCGGAGCTAACATGACGTATACCCAATCCAAGGTTTGAGAGCGGCTACAAATTCCCCCACCCTCTCTTCTTCACCCCGCCCACCATCCTGACGCGCACGTCTCAGCCTATCAACGACTGAGCCTGTGGAGGGTGAGGGGGGAAGGAGGGCGGAGAGTGGGAGGAGGCAGAGAGAGGAAGGAGGCGTAGGCTGAGGAGGAAGAGGGAGGAGGGGCAGGGAAGTCCTGGCGGAGAAGAGGCCCAAGACTCCAAAGGAGACTACGGGAGGGTACGCTGGAACTCCCCAGCTGGTCAGCGGTCATTCAGGATACCTCAGGAACGCAAGTCAGACGGACGGAGGCAAGAAGGAAGAGACTTTTATGTCGGCAGACAGAGAAGCTCTACCCGTCACCGTTGCCTCACATCCGGGCCTTTGGAGGGCTGGCCACCCCCCACGACCCCGCCCCCCCTCACGCCTTTCATGGCGACCGGAGGCGGAGGCTGGAAGAGCTGGGCCAGGAGAAGGCCCCTTTAAATCTCCTTAAAGGGGTGACCACTGAATTCGGCGTACAACGACGCCAGCCTTAAAGGGGAAGCCGTCGAACCGAAGCTGACACATTGAGAACTGTGCTGTTGGGAGAACTGGAGCAAGTGGGGATTCTCGCCTGCACTTCTACCCCCACGCAAGAAGTCCTTTAAACTCAGCTTAAAGGGGAAGTGACTGGCCGCTTGTGGAGGACTAGAAACGAACTCCCCAGCCCTTAAAGGGGCGGCCTGTTTGGAGGACCCCGGACTCCTTAAAGGGGCGGCCTTTTTTAGCCGGAGGAGCTGAGACACTTTTTAAAGGGGAGGTCTGCGTTTCGGGGCGAGCTTTCGGCCCCTTTTAAAGGGGTGGCCCTTCCTCTTCCTCGGGGAGACTTGTCTCGACCCCTGGCAGGGGGCGGCCACCGCAGTAGGCCGGCCGGACGCCGTCGGGTCGTCTTAAAGGGCCCAGGGGCTGGACAAGCCGAGGCCTCGCCTTAAAGGGACGGCCGCCCCGTTTTCGCCGTCTCGGCCCCTCCGGCCCCACGGGGGGGCGCCTCGGGCTTGTCGCCCCGGGGGCGGCGCTGGCTCCCCGGGCCTTGGCCTTGGGGCAAGCTCAGGGCCAGCAGATTCTGCTTTAAAGGGGAAGTCGTGGCCCTCTCGTCCCTGTGCAGCCGCCAGGGCCGCGCCTGCGACCCCGGGCCTGTGGACAGGCCGCTTCGGGCCCAGCCGCCTCCGGATGCGGCGCTGAGGGCGGTCGCCATGGAGACGGCAGCGGCCGCGGCTCCGGGCCCGGGCTGGGCCGCCGAGGGGGAGCGGCGGCGGCGGCGCTGCTCGCGCCGAGACCGAGACCGGGAGCAGCGGCGGCGCCGGGGACCCGGCGGCGACGCGCCCCGGGCCCTGTTGGCCGCCCCGCGCGGCTCCTCGTCCTCGTCTTCGCCGCCGCCACCCGCCAGGCCCTGGTCGTCGGCTTCGTCGGGAGAGCGGCCCGGAGGCCCACGGCGGCGGCGGCCCCGGCCCAGGCCTCGGCCCCCGCGGCCCCGGGCTCGGAAGCGCCCGGCCGGCTCGGGCAGCCGCGGGGAGGAGGAGGAGGAGGAGGAGGGGGGCGCCGACGACGGCGAGGCCGAGGAGGAGGCCGAGGA